ACATGAAGACAGAGGGAAAACACAGCATGAAGACGGAAGCCAAGACTGGAGTGGATCTACACACAAAGGAATGCCAGGGGTTGCCGGCCATCAGCAGAAGATAGGACACAGGCAGGGAACAGATCCTCCCCTGGAGCCCTGTGAAAGAACAAACCCACGGACATCTTCAGCTGGGACTTCTAGCCTCTAGAAGACTAGAGTTCTATGGTTTCAAGCCACTCCATTGTAGTAATTTAACTGTGAATGTACAAAGTAACAGGGAAGAGAAGACCTTAAGACCTTAATGTTAATTTAGTCCAATCTTTTGTCTGATGCTTGAAAACCCTTTGGTACCTGAACACCACTAGCGACCAAGAACTCGGTTCCTATCAGAACCACCCACTCATCTCACTGCTAGAAAGGCCGTTCCTCACACTGAGCCAGCATTTGCTTCCCTGTAGCTTCCTCCCTGGGACATTTTGCCACACAAGGTCTGACCCCTTGGTGTCAAATGCTTCGCACCCGTTGAAGAAGCCATGCTCTTGCACAGAGTTTTAGCAAATGCAATTTCCTCTGTGTGGAATGAGTTTTTGCCTCTCTACCTAAGAAATCCATTAAAATCGAGTTCAATATTATCTCCTGAGGGACGAGGCTATGCAGTTGGAAAAAGCAGTTCCAAATCCATGCTTCAGAAATGGAAGGGTTATTTTCCTCTGTCACTGCACGTCCACCATCAGGTGACAGGGAAACTCTGTGTCCTCATCAATGAGGGGCCCAGGCTGAGCAAGCACTATCTAGAGCACGGCCAGTCATCACGGGAGGGAGAAAGGCCTAGAGGGCTCTCCACTCAGTAACTGGACCCACCAGCCCGAACACAACACAGTCATTTCCTCTCACAACTCGCTGGCCAGAACTAGTGATATGGCCTCAGCTGACCTAGACAGGACTGGGAAATGTGGTCCTACCACGCTCCTGGAACACCAGGCCGGAAGTACTTGGTAAACAGCACTGGCCTGCTCTTTGCCACTGCCTGTGCTGCCTTGGCAGAGTTACTGGGACCATCTGCAGTTTCTCGGGGTATTTTGCATATGTGTTAGTGAGGTTACAGCATTGCATTGTCATTATATTTACCCAGAGTTCTTGCAGGCCAGGGACTACAAGTGTACTGGGTACTTGCTATGTGGCTGCATGCGTGGGCAGTGGCCACAGGGCCACAGTAAAGGCTCAGGTCCTTCCAGTGGTTTACGAGGCCATACCTGCTCTTTCCATCACTGTTCCTCTGACCTCCTCTCCCCATCTCTGCCCCCAGCTGGACCCCAGCCTCACTATCAACCAAACTCACCAGGCCAGCTCCCGCCTCCGAGGCCTCGCACCTCCTGTTCCCAGTAGCAGGGCTGTGCCCCTCTGTCACCTGCTTGGCTCACCACCTCATTTCTGACAGCTCTGCTCAGCTGTCGTCATCAGAGAAGGCTTTCTCGACCCTGCTCTATAAACCATCAACATGACCCCCTGCCCTGAGAACCCCCCAGCTTCCTTACCTTCATTTCTCCAAGGCAGTTACCACTGTCTGACACAAGCACACACACGCGTGTGTCACCTTGTCGTATAGTGAACACCATATAATACGTCTTACGTAATGTATGATGATATACCTCTGATACACCTGATCATCTGCACTGCTTGTTCACTGTCCGTTCCTCGCCCCCACCCTGCTGCCCACTCACACACTTGAGCAGGACCTCCGAGAACAGAGGTGCCAGCCTGTAGCAGATACTCAGTAAGTACCTGCCACATGAATGATATAGGAGCAAATGTGTCTCCTGACTCTTTGGGTCGCTGGACAGAAATGCTGTATCCCTTCCTCCTCGTACGATGAGATCGGAGTCCCTTCAGCGTCCCAGCCACCCACAAGGGGGCAATGATCCGTGCAGGTCAGAGCAGAGCCACCCCTGGCTTGTCCCTGAGTCCATATTTCAATCACTAACACCTAAATTTAAGCAAGAGTTGGGGAGGGGGGGTTATAACACTCGCACTGTACCTGACGCATAGTAAATTCAGTTCTTGACTAAAGTCCTGTTTGTTTTTACCCATAAAGCCGCACCTTTCCCTCTCTATATAATTTGGTAGTCGTTGTTTTGGACCTACGAGTAGGACCTAACGTTTTTTTCCTCTTTGCTTCACTGCCATTTGTCCTCCTTCTCTTTTATAATGTTCTTTATTCTTTCACTTATTTACTGATTATCTACCATGTGTAAGAGGCTATGATAAGTGTTATGTGTTTTACAATTCCCAGAAATGAAAAGTCACTCAGCGATGTTAACATAAATCAGATAGACAAACTTGGTTCAGTAGAAGATGACCAAGGCCTCTCCAGGTGCAAATGACTGGCAGCAGAGCCTTGCCTGGGGAGCGTCCCATGACAGAGGGGCAGAAGTGGCACTCCAAGGATGCAATGCCAGGAGCACCTGCCCAAGGAGTAGAGCCTCGGGTGACAGGGGTCTCAGGAAGAGCCTACAGTTACTAGGGACGCTTGGTTCAGCTTTAACTCTAAGGTTGCTTGGCCTCTAGATGTGACCAATTCATCCCCGCTCCCACATCTCTCCAAGGACTTCACCCATCTTCGGACAAGGGTATGTTAAGGATTGAGACTTCCTACTGTCCATGGATAGATGAGATGTGTCTTAGTTCCAGCAATTTCAGGGCAGCTCTCGAATGGGGAAGAACTAGAACAATTATTCTATTTATCTGAAAACCATATATATATATATATATTTTATTTAATGCTGGGTACTAGGTCCATAGTCACCAGCTAATGACTCAACCATAACTCCAATCCTATAAGGTAGATACCTTCATTTTCTCCATGCTATAGATGGGGAAACTGAGGCACAGAAAGGTTGGGTTTTTATTTTTTCCATTGGTCTTCCCACAGCTAGAAAGTGAACGTGCTGAGGTCTGAGCCTGCACAGAGCAGCTGAGGAGACCACGGTCTCAACAGCTCTGCTGTTCTCTGCTTCGACTTCATAATGGAAACAGACACAGATTATAGTCATAGTTAATATAAGAGTGAGTAATAAGGTATGGTGTATATTATCATCAATAATACAGGATACGCCTAATAAAATCAACCCTGAGACATGGTACAGGATTGAAACTGGAGAGAACTCTGAAAACCTTGGGAATAATGGAGGTGATCAAATGAATTGAAGGATTCCACCTTTGCTCAGAGCAACACTAATTCATCTATTTATTCTTCCTTTCATGCATTTCATCCGTTTATTCAACAACTATGTACCAAGCATTTTCACTGTCTTACACACACAGTCACAGCTTAGGGATCCAGGCAAAAGACATTTATGGTCTAGCATGGTAAGTATTATATGGGGGGGGGGGGCTCACAGAAGAATGAGAGGCTAATTCGGGGGAACAGAAGATAGGCAGGAGGGAACAGATGACAGAAGAATGCTACATGGAGGAAGGAAGATTGAATGTAGCCCTAGAAAAGTTTTTTAATCTCAGTATCCAAGAAAAGAAACTGGAATTTACTGTCTCCATCAGATAACAAGAGAAAATTAAACACATTTTCAAGAAAGGCACTGAGCATAGTGGTTAAGAACACGGGCTTTGGGGGCCAGCACTGTGGCTTAGCAGGCTAAGCTACCACCTGCAGCGCCGGCATCCCATATGGGCACCAGTTCAAGTCCCGCTGCTCCGCTTCCAATCCAGCTCCTTACTAATACACCTGGGAAAGCAGTAGAAGATGGCCCAAATGTTTGGGCCCCTGCAGCCACATGGGAGACCCAGAGGAAGCTCCTGGCCCCAGCCCCAGTGTTGCAGTCATTTGAAGAGTGAACCAGTGGGTGAAAGATCTCCCTATGAATTTTAAATAAACAAATAAATCTTAAAAAAAAAAATAGGCTTTGGAGTCAGTTGGGCCTGCACTCAAATTGTAACTGCTGCAGAACTGTCTCCACCACTAGTGTAAGAGGGGGTGACCATAAAACTCCGGCCTAGGATTTTCCTGAGGGTCAAGTGCAAACGCGTGTGAGGTGCACAGCACAGTCTGCACACTGGACACACTCAGTACGTGTTCCTGATCATGCATTCCCTTTATTGTACACTCACGTTTACTCTCTCTTGGTCCCTAGCCCTCAGCCTTGTTAGCAGCCTTAACATTTACCTTTAGAGTTAAACTTTGTGAGTCTCTTTTTCTCTTTTACTTCAGGAATCAAAAGAGAATAGAATTTCTGCAAAACTGATTTACGTTGCCATGAATTTATTGTGCTCCATGGTTCTTGGTGACAAGATAACCAACAGAGGAGCTAATTCATTATTTTAGCAATTTAAACAAGACCTCAAGAGAAAGGCACCCTGTGGTCACAGAGCGCTGGAACTCCACTAATGAGAAGATTAAAGGAAAGTTCGGCTCACACAGTTCCAGATAATCACAAATGTACCCAAGGATTAATACCAATCACAAATACCTGGAACTGTATTATGAGCCTGGTTGGTTGTTCTGAATTTAACCTGTATTGAACAGATGAACTTAGAGGAGTTAATGAAGACGTTACTTGGACGTGACTGGTGGAGCCCCTTCATAATTAGTATCTGGGGAGATGCGACAGTGCACATGGGGCTCCCTGGTCCCCTTCCTCCTACTTCTCACCCAGATGGGAAAGGAATCTCTGCATCTCCGCAGAGGGTTGGCCCTTCCCCAGAGCCCCCACCCCGGGTCCAGCATGTCCTGGAGAAACCCACCCTGGAAGCCACACTCATGTCTTCCACAAAAGGCTTTCAGAAAGCACAGTGGCCTTCTGCAGACTCCATTCCAGGGACTCAGTCCTCGGGGGAACAAATCCCAGGCCTTCGTGACCCTGGCAGCCACTGGCCCTTCCCCACGTCCCTCTCCTCCATGACTCACAGCCCCTGGCTGCCCACGCTTAAGCTGTTTTAGGATTATGCAGTCACGGAACCACGGCACGTGTCTCAGAGGTTGCCTCGTTTCTCGGTTTCTCTTGCAGATTCTTGCAACTCCATGCTGTGTGCTGCAGGCTGGCCTTGAACTTGGAGCTCTGGAAGATGGGGGTGGAGGGGGAAACAGTGGCCCTGAAGAACATGCTCATTGGCGTCAACCTGGTCCTGCTGGGCGCCATGCTCAAGCCCTCGGAATGTCAGCTGGAGGTCACCACGGAGAGAGTCCAGCGACGGGCAGTGGAGGGGGAAGGAGGTGTCGCCAGCTACAACACGTCCAGCAAGGATCAGCCTGTGCTCTTCAACCACGTGTACAACATTAACGTGCCCCTGGACAGCCTCTGCTCCTCCTCCGGGCTGGAGGCCTCCGCCGAACAGGAAGTGAGTGCTGAAGACGAGACTCTGGCCGAGTACACGGGGCAGACCTCAGACCGCGAGAGCCAGGTCACCTTCACCCACAGGATCCACCTCCCCAAAAAGGCCTGCCCGTGCGCGGGCTCGGCACAGGTGCTGCAGGAGCTGCTGAGCAGGATTGAGATGCTGGAGAGGGAGGTGTCGGTGCTGCGGGACCAGTGCAGCACCAACTGCTGCCCGGAAAGCGCGGCCACAGGTAGAGTGTGGGCTCCCAGGAGGGAAGGAGAGGGCTGAGCAGAGAGGGGGAAGGAGAGCCACGCGCCCCAGTGAAAGCCAGCCTCCCTTCACGGGGCCGTCAAAGGCAAGCTTGCCCGAGTCTGCAGCTCCCGGTTAACACGAGTGTCTCTAAGATCTAAGCGCAGCCCTTCCCCGGGGAGCTGCTGCAGGACTCTCGGCGCTGCTTAGCCAGTCTGAAATACATTAACCTGATTCGGGGGATGAGGCAGGTACATCAACACAGCACCGTGGACGGCGAGCGGGGAATCTGATGTCTGATTTCATTCACCTTTGTTCTCAGAGGCTGCGGAACTGGTATCTGTTCACGTTAACCTGAGGGACGAGAGCAGGCAGGAGCTCCGTTCGCTCTGCCGCAGGCTTCCCCCCGTCTGAGTAAATGATGGTCCTCGCGCTCTCGGAGGACCTGTCCCCACGTTCTCCGCCAAGACGGAAGTTTTATCCCCGGCCCCTCCATGAATACACACGTGCATGTGTATGTAAGTGCACACAGACTTGCGTGCACACACACACACATGCACACGCCTTCTCATACGCACACACTCACAGAGCTTATTCTAGCCCCCAGAAGGCTGAACGGTCAGGAGATCTGCCTCCAGCCTCACCCACATCCCTAACTATATACTTAGGAGTTGCTCTCTTTACTGCTCCGGAAGACATGATGGAGTCTTCAGAGCCAGACTTTCTGAGTTCGAATCCCGACTCTGCTACTTCCTAGTTTGTGACCTCTGCAAGATGCATGACCTGTGCCTTCTTTTCTTGTCCACAAACGGTGGTAGAAAGAACATGAAGGAGTAACTGACTATAAAAGCTCATATTCAGATGAGACCTGGCTTCCAGTAAGTGCCGCATAAGCAGTAGTGAGTGTTCACGGATCCCGGGGGCAGGAATCCTCTTCACTTTGGAACCGCACAGTTAAGTTCTTTGGGGAGAGGCATTTGTCATACAGCTTAGACTCGAGTGTTCCCCTCTATGGAGTCCAAGCTCTCAAGGCTTTCCCGGGAATGAAAGCAGGAGGTAAGAGGAGCGACATTTTCCCGTTCTGTGTGGCCATAGCTCCATGGGGGCACGTGGCCGGTCTTCGAGTATTGGGACATTTCATGGGGTTTTCTTATCTCCTTCAGCCAACACTATGGGTAAAACAATCAGGAGGATGGGAGAGCAAGTCCAGGTGCTCCTGTTCTTCAGTGAGGATGGTCAGGTCAGCTCATCTCTTCAATGGAGTTGGAGAGTCGGGTAGTCTCCGGGCAGGCCACCATGGACACGGACTGCCTGCAGCTCAGGAGGAAGGCTTCTTTAGAAGTGGGCTTTTTACCAGCCCCCCTCCAGAGTCCCTGGCAGATGTTAGAAGATCTACATGGAAGAGCTAAGTTAAGCAGTGTCAGTGCAGTAGCTTTTCAGGCCACGGGGGTTCCGTGAAGTAGCAGAACGAACTCCCTGGACTTCAACAACTCAGGGCCAAGTGCAGAGAGAAACAGGAAGCCAGCGCTCAGTTTGCGTCTGTTTAGTGCGTGCTAGACAGACACATGAACCCCTGTAGCTACACCACAGAAAGGCTGGGGCAAGGAGGCCTGACAGACTCACTGCAAGCGGTTAACTGAAGGAGGCTGAGGATGTGGGAAGCCTTCTTAGTGGCCCTGGCATGGAGGTTTGTGAAACAGTGGAACGCCTTGGCATGTCCAGAGAGAGGGGAGGGGCCTGGAACTTACACGTCCTGGGGACAGCCCCGACCTCATGATAAGGTGTGTCCTGTACTAGCACCCTCTGCTGCCCGGAGCCCACCTAACCTGCCTGAGACTTGCTGGGTGACAAACCGCGGCTTAAGCACCTTGGCCCCCAGCCCTCCCCCTGTCCCCATCAGCAGTTCCTGGGGACACCTTCCAGCAGGTCACTTTGTGCCAGTCTCCATCCTAAGTTACACTTCCAGGGACTCAGCCTAAGTTACCCTGAACCCGAACTGGGGGACAAGGGACCGGATCTCGTTCACTTTGCCCCAGCACCATGCTAGGCACAGAGAGCCCACCCTGCGGGGGGAGGGGGATATTCATTGAATTAGATGCGTGTGCCAAACTCTGCTTTGCTCGACTCCCACGCGGCACAAATGTGACCAGAAGATGAGTGGAGGTCCCTGCCCTCCCCTCTCTCCCCTCCCCAGCAGCACTTCCGGGAGACGCCACTGCTGCCCTTTGACCTTCTCCTTGACCATTCCAGGACAACTGGACTCTACCCCTCACTGCAGTGGCCATGGCAACCTTAGCCTCGAGTCCTGCGGCTGCATCTGCAATGAAGGCTGGTTTGGCAAGAACTGCTCAGAGCCCTACTGCCCGCTGGGCTGCTCCAGCCGGGGCGTGTGTGTGGATGGCCAGTGCATCTGTGACTCTGAGTACAGCGGGGACGACTGCTCCGAGCTCCGGTGCCCGACAGACTGCAGCTCCCGGGGGCTGTGTGTGGACGGGGACTGTGTCTGTGAAGAGCCCTACACGGGCGTGGACTGCAGGGAGCTGAGGTGCCCCGGGGACTGTTCGGGGAAGGGGACATGCGCCAACGGCACCTGTGTATGCCAGGAGGGCTATGTTGGCGAGGACTGCGGCCAGCGGCGGTGTCTGAACGCCTGCAGTGGCCGCGGACACTGCCAGGAGGGGCTCTGCATCTGTGAGGAAGGCTACGAGGGCCCTGACTGCTCGGCAGGTAGGAAGGGGGGACTCTGGGCATTTGGCAAGGGTGGTCCCACAAACCGGCTGATGTTCCGGGGACCTGAAAACGCCAGGCGGAATGAACCCCCACTGAGTGGCACTCATTTGCTTTCTGATGAGACAGATTGGAGGGGGGAATCTGAAAAGGTCAAGTTCAGGCTAGAACCTGGGTCTTTATTCCTGAGAATGGAACCAAGGAATGGCTATCATTATGCCAACTCCCCACTGTCCTTGAGGTGGGGCAGGCAGAGGGAGACCACGGGGCACACCTGAGACAGAGCTGTTCTCTAAGCCGTAGGCCTTCCGGGAGTTCCACCTGCACACAAGTCCCTCCCTCACCTGTGTCACATCCCAGGGACACCCCTGTTACTGTGCTACTTGCAAAGGGCAGAGGGCTCTGGGAGACTCTCCGCTTGGAGCTCACAGAGTGGAAGGGGCCGCTGATTTAGGAAATGACCTAGCACCACATGGAGAAAGTGTTTGTGGGCACGGAACTAAATGTGCGCAGGAGTGACACACTGGAAGTGCTGATCAGCAACGAGCGTTCTAGCAATTAGTGCAGGCTGTTAAAAGCGTACGACTCCTGTTCCCGATGACTACACAGCACACTGGAACCAGCCCCTTAAGTAATTCGCACTGTGGAATCCATCCCCTTTGTAGGTGATGTCCTAAGGTGGTTTCTAAATCCAACAGTGAGAAAAACACCAGTCTCACACTGTGGCGTCTTCTATTTTGTTTTCCTTTTTAGGCCCCACATCAGGTTATTTTCACGGTTTCCCTATTATTCATTCTCTTTTGATTAAATCAGCAACTGTTGCTGATGCATTTGCTTGTGTTTTAAGCAGTACAGACTAAGTAGTTGATCCTTTCCATTTAGGTCGCGGAGTGCCCACTGGAAAAATTTAGACAAAAACAAACAAGCAATTTAAAGCTTCTAATTGAGTGAGTCTAGGAATTTTCTGATCAGTATCTGACAGTTGTTTGCGGGTAAATCCTGAGACGCTAGCCTCACGCCTCCCCTCCTCCTCCAGCATTATCCATTGATTCCCACCCTCCTGGCAAAGCAAGCATCCTGTCCACGTGACTTCAGCTGAGACTCTTTTCAAAGATCAATGACTATAATGAAAAGCAAGCCAATAATGCACTGCTTCGGAAAAACATTTCATATTCCTTAATCTGTCTTCCATATTCAGTCATGTCATTTAGCCTCCTCATTTTGCTTGCTTTCTAAAAATACCGTCGTTCTACCAATTGTTGCAATGCAAAGTTCCTGCCGAAGTTAAAGCCTCCTTATTTCTGATTCCTGAGTCCCCGGGAAGCAAGACTGAAACAGGAGCAGCTGCATCAGGGGGTGAGGCTCCAGCTGGAAGCTGCCGCGGCTTTTCCGCAGCTGCTGCGTGGACTTCCTCGTTGATGTTCCTCCAGAGCGCACGAGCTTCCCTGTAGGCTCCATCCTGGTTGGCCTGCACCCCCTGTCAAGTGTTTGACCCGCTTTTCTAGAGGAATGGGTTCAGATGCAAACGAAACCTTGATCTGATCCAGGGCACCAGCTGACCCAGAGAAAGCTCCTCCTGGCCACCTCGGGGAAGACACAGCAGCTGCTGGAGTAACCATGACGGAGCTGAGTCCAGCCCGTGGGCGCAGGTGCCCTCGGTCTGCTCGAGGAAAAGCCTTCTGTAGGCCAGGAGCAGCGACTTCACAGGTTCAAGTGCATGTAGGAGGGCAGCTGCATAATCTCCATCTGTTTCCATAGCAACCCTGGAGCCATTACTCATGGCAGGATGTACCGCTCTTAATGCCTGCCTTTTAAACCGAGTGCCTCAGGTCTCTCCTAGAGTAGTATCTAGGTCATTAGCTAAAGTGCTACTTGGCTTGCCCTTTGTGAAAAGACTGTAGGCGATGGGGCTATTTACCCATGTTGGACGTTTCTGGCCAGGTGCACACAGGACAACACTGCTGCCCCACTGCCTCCGGGCGTAAGGAGACGAGAGAAGGGTTAGGAAGGTGAAAACATGGAGAGTCATAAAATGTGCTCCCTTGGAGGTCACTGCTTCCTCTTTGGCAGGGGCAGGGGAAACAGCTGCCCGTTGTGCGGATTTCATTCTGAGGCCCCCTAGGTCCCGACGGCGGAAATGCCATTTAACAGTGTCAGCAGGTGCCACCACGTTTGACCCCAGCCTTGATCTTTGCTCTTTTATGCCAGGGGACAAAATTTCAAGCTTTCTGCCTCTGTTCTGTGTCTACGTAAAGGCAATGGAACAAAAAATTCATGCATAGGAGCACTTAAAACAGGCCTTAAAAAGAAGCTACTCCAGGCTTCTCGTTTTTACAGATTTAAAAATCAGCAGTTCAGGAAGACAGAGATTTTCTGAGAGCCAGGCAGCTCATTAATGGTGGAGTAAGAATGAGGACCCTGATCTTCTACCTATGTCTGGCACTCTTTAATCCTCTCTGAGATGCTTAGTAGAACAGAATTGGAAAATAAAAACTTTAAACCCAAAGAAGTAGCCTTTTGCCATGAAAACCCAACAGTTGGCCGGCGCTGTGGCTCAATAGGCTAATCCTCCGCCTTGCGGCGCCGGCACACCAGGTTCTAGTCCTGGTCAGGGCGCCAGATTCTGTCCTGGTTGCCCCTCTTCCAGGCCAGCTCTCTGCTGTGGCCCGGGAGTGCAGTGGAGGATGGTCCAAGTGCTTGGGCCCTGCACCCCATGGGAGACCAGGAGAAGCACCTGGCTCCTGGCTTTGTATCAGCGCGGTGTGCTGCCGCAGCGGCCATTGGAGGGTGAACCAATGGCAAAAGGAAGACCTTTTTCTCTGTCTCTCTCTCTCTCACTGTCCACTCTGCCTGTAAAAATTAAAAAAAAAAAAGAGTAAAACCCAACAGTATCAAATGATTCAAGGTAAGAGTAGGGAAGTGCATGTACCATTTGTCCAGAGCTGCCCCCAGCACAGCACAGAGCTAGCCCAAACTCCTGGTGAGTCAGCAGGACCAAGGAACCACCGGAGCAGGGTCTTGAGACAGTCCAGGAAGCTGTTCCCCTGTAGACCCATCAATAGCCGCCTCTGCCTGTCAGGACTGTGGCCAACCCAACTCCTGACACTCAGAACCGCCTGCCCTTCAGAACACACACATCACAGGACCTGACTCCACTGCGCGCACCACACAGAATGCAAGACTCATCCAAGATCTAGAAAGTGAGCAGCACCATTCCTCGCAGACAGGCAGCTCTGATTTCTCCAGACACAGTTCATTCTTTTGTTAACAGCCTACTGTTCCCCCAGTTCCATGGTTGAAACCCTAAAGAAAGGAAGACGCAAAACACTGCACTCACCATGAATTCACTGACTCAGAGCCCAAGGCTCTTCTGTAGTTTGCTTTACAGTTCAGTGTTATCTCACCTTATAAGGACTCCTGACACCCAATGTGCACAGCTACTGCTGACTTACAGGGGAGACGGTGATGGACCCACGCTCAGAGTCCTCCCACCAGGAGTGACTGCCAGCACCGCTCTCCCAGACAGAAGTGAAGGCAGTGTGACCCCCAGCCTCAGGTCTCAAGCTAAGGCGCCAAGATAAGGGGAAAAAAAAAGTTCTGCTTCCAAATCCTAGAATGCTCTCCTTAGATCGCTCTCCATTGCCATCATTAGCTTCATTTTCCAGAAGAAGGAGCCATGAAGGGACACAGTGACTTATTCCAAATGCAACACGAGTCGTTGGGGACTTGGAATTTGAAACGGCCATTGCTGTCCTCTGGCAGGAGAGCCAGGCATAGGAAACCTGGAAGCAGTGGACAGCTGGAAGTAGCATGGCCAGATGCCACCTCTAGGGTGAGCACCGTCCAGAGATCACACCTTGTGACACAGTCTGAATTATTCCTAATACAGTGCACTTGAAGGTGCTGTATATCAGCGAAAGGAGGCATTGGTGCACTCACAACCCCTGTGCAAATGAGAGGAGAGAATACTGCCCCTGGAAGATCTATGTTTGAGAATCAGTTCTTCTGTGACCCAACTCCCTGACTTTTGGCACAGCTCTTAACTTGGGCCTCAGTTTCCCCATTTGCAAATAATAATTATAATAATAAATATGTCTACCCGAACTATCCCATAGGGATGCTATTAAAGGACTTTCACAAAGTCTAGTTGGATGGTGTGTCAGAACATAGTGTTCACAATGTGAAAGGCTATGTAAATACAAAGTGGCATTATATAGTGGCCAAGAGGTTCTAGATGCATTCTGCCTGGGTTCATCCTAGCTTCTATGTTTTCTATGATCAATTTCCTCATCCATAAAATAGTGCTACCAGTAACACCCATCCCATTGTGTTGGTGAGAGGCTGAAATGGGATAATTCACGTACAAGTGGTTAGCAGTATGCCTGGTGCATAATAAATAATGTATTCATACAAAACACGGACAGGTCCTCTAGTTCAACACTTCTTGCCTGGTTAAGGAGTAACCCTGTACACATTCTACAGGCTGTCCCAAAATATACAGTGTAGACCAAAGCTTTAACAAAATCAGAATTGTTTACAAAATACCATTTGAAGATTTAATCATTCACATTTTATTGATAATTCTTCAATTTTGCTTGTTTTTAAATACATTCTTAATTTTTTTTGTTTCCGTCATCATTTGCCATCTTCGATCAGAGGAAGCTCTACTTTCTAGAATGTTTCATGCAGTGAATGGTTTGGGAAAAAAGCAGTCACAGCAAACGTCCAGCACAGCAAATGTGCGCTGCTAACTTCTGTCCCTGAGACTGGGGTCAGTGAAAGGGCCTCCCTCTTGTGCCTGTGCCAAGGACTTCAGGGTTCATCTGTGAGCACATGAAGGCCGGGCACTCCCCACCACAAGGCCCTGTGCAAAGCAGCCTGCCCATGCTTCCTCACTTACAAAAGTCAAAGAGTGGGGTCACCCAACAGAGAAATCCCAAACCAACGCCGTCCCTGTAGTCCACTACATTTGAAGGTACTTGAAAAACTGGTTGCAAGATATCATTAAAAGATAAGTTTATTTTGCTGTAAAAATCTGAATTCTGTGCACCTGAGGGGTTTTCCAAAAGCGAATTATGAAAAAACTATGCATGGATTTGAAAATTTTTATGCACTTAGATAAATTTGGTTTAATTCAATTTTCCAGAAACTTTCTGAAGTACCCTCACAAAAATTTATAAGTTAATTCCGACCATCTAAATGTTGGCCTGATCTTTGGTTTTATCTATGAGCAGGTCCAATTACAGACACACTGAACACAGCCTCCTAATTGGTCTTGAGGGTTCAATTATTTAATGCCCACACCACTGGAGAATCCTCATTTCCCAAGTGAATCACACATGAAAGGCTGTTCCAATGTGGTTTAACCTCTGCGACTCTGTGTAGCGTTTAAGCCAGACAGGAGAGAAAAGCAAAGCTCTCAAGAGTGTTTCCTTATGGTCATCTCTAAGACAGAGGCCAAGGAAATTAGTTTTACACAGTTACATTTGTTTCAAAACTTTAGTGGTCTCCTGGCAGAAGGGCCTTTGAGTGTCTTCATCAGGTCATGGTATCAGGACTGTTTTTGGCTTCTTAAATGTTGCAAGGTATCCAACACCAGTTCTTTAGCTCCACTTGCCAAATCAGATTGGCTTTCAAGGTAATCTGATCAGAGTCACTTACAAAACTACCCAAAGATTTGTGCTATGAAATAGCTAACAACTGGCTCTCTAAAGGGAAAAAAAGTCAAAAGCCCAGATTTGTGACATTTGCCAATTTCCACGGTGTCAATAGTCTCTCCATGGTCAATTTCAAACTGCCAGCATGACATCACAGAAAGTGGAGCCGCGGTGAGATGTGCAGAATAGAATTATATGGTATTTCCACCAGAGAGATAGCAACACGTGTAAAATTACCCAGGGGCACAGATAATAGTAAGAGTAGTATAATCATTGGAAAGTGGTGAGTTTTGAGTAATTATTACCTTCATTTTTAAAATGATTTACCTCGCTGTAAATTTAGAAGATGACATCCTTAATAATGACTGTATTTAACGGCAGCCTTGCAAAATTCCTGAAAATTTGACAATGAGCTTTCCCAAGCCAGCAGGTCTCCTTCTACCAGGAGACCACTAAAGTTTTGAAACAAATGTAGCTGTGTAAAACTAATTTTCCTTGGCCTCTGTCTTAGAGATGACCATAAGGAAACACTCTTGAGAGCTTTGCTTTTCTCTCCTGTCTGGCTTAAACGCTACACGGAGCCACCAGTGCCCCAGTAACACATGACACTGTGGAGACTGGGGTACCAAGAAGACTGAGAACCTGCCTCCGACAGGAGTTCCCATCACGCAAACCCGGAGCCCCGCAGCACCTACAGACAGGGCATGAGGTGGAGGGGGTGGGGTGTTGAGATGAGAACAATGTTGAGTCCAGGATGGGGAAGGCAGTCCTCTGAGCTCACGCTGTCTGTGTTGCCTCCCGGTAGTTGCCCCTCCAGAGGACTTGCGAGTGGCTGGTATCAGCGACAGGTCCCTTGAGCTGGAATGGGACGGGCCGATGGCAGTGACGGAATATGTGATCTCTTACCAGCCGGCGGCCCTGGGGGGCCTCCAGCTCCAGCAGCGGGTGCCTGGAGATTGGAGCGGTGTCACCATCACGGAGCTGGAGCCAGGTCTCACCTACAACATCAGCGTCTACGCTGTCATTAGCAACATCCTCAGCCTTCCCATCACTGCCAAGGTGGCCACTCGTACGTACCATCCCCCTGTCCTGCTCCATTTTCCCTTTCTCCTACATGAGTTCATGGGCATTCATGATAGTAGTGTCTTTTCTTAATTCTCCAGGGATGCCTACGATAGTCACAGCTGTTGAGGGCAAGAGCTTCAGACGTGACCCACTTAGGGCAGGGGACAGCATTCAAAAGGCACTTCTGATAAAGACAGTTTCCAAATTCAGGCAGCTCCCATGAATCATAGAACAAAAAGGACAAAAAGTACTTTAATTATTGAGTACTGACTTGTTATAAGCTAGACTCTGATTAAAAGTCCAATAAAGTATGAGACTTATACAGACTTCAAATCTGGGAAGGGATTCAAAGCCAGGAGATCGGAAATAGGACGCATAACAAGCCAGTGCTAAGTGGTGTGGTACAGACAGGAAGTGTGTAGCGGAGTGGGGGAAGGATCTTACTAAAACCACAGCTGGCAACATCTACTTCTCACACAGAGGTGACATCATTTCTTTATGGTCTTTCCCTTAGCAGAATATCTTGGTAGTCCACTTTAGTTACAAAACTTGAAACTCTAGATTTTAGTGCAAACAAATTCAATGGAAGGGAAAGAGAGACCCAGAGACGGAGAGCAACCAAAGCCACTCTCCATGAGACATCTTTTTTCTTTACAAAAGGAAGGAGAACTCCTATATGTATGTATATTTTTATGCTTATTTAAGTGTAGAAGAAATAGAAAAGACTGCACAGCAATTAACACTGATGGCATCAAAGAGTGAAATGAGAAGACAGGAAAGCACACGTTTCCTTCTGTCTACACCTCTAGATTCTTACATTTGTTACAGGAAGACTTGATTACTTTCAACTCTCAAAAGCCAAGGTGAGAAACTCAGGTGAGACAATGTTCCAGTAGCTTGGGTGCTACATTGTACCTTGGGCACCCCAAATTATTTCAAAATCTACACACACACAAATGCCTTATGTGTGAGGTCTCTTGAACACATGGAAAAAAAAAAAAACAGGGCTATGTCTGATGAAACTATGGAAAATAGTATGTCTAAAGGAGGTGAGGTGTGAGTGACATGGAGATTTGGACAGTCACAAGACACTGGAATAAGAAGTGGTTATGAAAGTATAAGTTCTTCAACATGTAGCAAGCCCCTGAGTCAGTAAACAGAATTTATCACCAGGCAAAGGATAAGAAACTTGAGCCTGTTTTATGTAGGTCTCACATGTCAGGGTTCAGGGGCCAAAACAAATGCCCATAGGAAGACTTGGTCTTGAGGGCTTCACTTAAGCCCAGGACTTGAACAGCACTTTGGAGAGTACACAGATAGGGGCAGAAGTGAAGTCCTCTTGTCCTTTTGCTTTCCAGGTGACAAAAGCCCTGTTATACTAATGGACTGCCCCTATGAATGCTACCTATTAGTACGTCTATAGTTATCCTTGCTTATTTCCACCAACCCCACCCCCCCCTTTTTAACCCCTCTGGTCCCTGAGAGCTAGTTCTAAACATCTGCAGCGGTTGTGCGGAGAGGCAGGCTCCACCCACTGCCCTCCCCGCCTTGCGTGGGGAGGAGTCACCACCTAAGAACCTGGCCCCACTCCCCTCTGTCACATGCACACAGGGCAAGGAGGTTTCCATCTCCCAGGCTGTTATGTCAGCTCAGGGCACCCCTCAGGCAAGCTCCCAGGTGACAAGGGCAAAATCAAGTAAACTCACAAGTGGGTTCAGAATCACCCCTGCCTTTCAACCCGGAAGGAGGAGAAACTGTCGGCTTTCCAACGGGAGAACCCTCGAGAGGAAAGCTGACATGGGCGCGGGCTCCCTGGAGAACTGAGAAAAGCCGCACTGTCGTATTGCAGGGCTGAGAACTGGAACTCCATCAGGACAAGCATACTTCACCTCACTAAACCTGTGCGTGTGTGTGTGTATGTGTGGCTGGGGAGAAGGACGGGGGGAGAAACAGAGGCAGACCTAGAGAGGAGAAGAAATCCAGAGCGAGGAACGGCTGAGTGAGGAAGAGAGAGAAACTGGAGGAAAGGAGAGAGTGACACAAAGCAAAATCCCCGGGATCTCCTTTGTCCTGTGTGAATGTTTGGTTTTGCTTGCCTACAAGAAACAGAAAATCCAGACCCTCCCGGACGTGGGGATTTTGCTACACTGAAGGTGCCCATGCACATCAGATCGAGGAAGGCACCCTCGCCTGCATTCTGAAGCTGGCTCGCTCTACATCGTTAGCTGCCTTTCTCTGAGCCTCCTTTCCCTGCGTGGGAAATTGGAACACTGATGGTGGGCTATCTGCCTCCCAGGGACCCTGTTAAGCTTTCGAAGACAGTGTTAAAATACTCGGCAAAAGGCATTCCAGTCAATGCTGACATCTACTATGTTAGCAATGAAAGAAAACGATGCCTTTTGTGTGTTAACAGTAGCCTACTATGTGATAGCGTCAACGTATTGATTAGATTATGTTTGTGGCATTTGCTCGTGTGTTCCAGCAACACGGAGCACCAGGGCCACAAAGGAGGGGGCCAATCCTGCACCTGGACTCCCTGTGTTCATAGTGAAATTGGGATCATCCACCACTGGTTCTGGTACTCACGGAGTGAAGGGAATTCGCAGGACAAAGCACCTGTCCCTGCCAGGGTCAGCAATGACACTGTCATCCACATTGCTGTGTTCCAGATCTCTCCACTCCTCAAGGGCTACAATTCAAGACCATCACAGAGACAACCGTGGAGGTGCAGTGGGAGCCCTTCTCATTCTCTTTCGATGGGTGGGAGATCAGCTTCATTCCAAAGGTAACACTTGTCAGACTGTGCAAAGTCTTATGTGGAGCCGTCTACCTTCCACTTGGAAACAGGGGCAGCAAAGCAGGCACTCCCCCATATCTCTCTCCAAGCCATTAAAGACCCAAAGGGCATTCTGTGGGTGTCTGGGTTAAAAAATGTTTCTTTCACTAAGGCATGAGGACTAACAAGAGTGATTCCAAGTGCAGCGCCCTGGCCCTGGATAACGGGAGGCAGGAAGCAGCCATCAGCTCCAGCTCTCTGCTGAGACAGCTCAGAGTTTGGGGAGCCATGATTTAGTGAGGATGAAAAAGTTGGAGCTTTTCTCTAGAACATCAGAAAAACCAACTGATAAAAAGTACAGTTATGGTTACCAGAGGCAGGGACGTTAAGTGGGAAGGGAGGAACGGGGAAAAGTTGATTACCAGGTACAAAGTTATAGCTAGATGGGAGTAAGAAATTCTGGCTCTACTGCACAATAGGGAGACTGTAGATGTTACGGTGTTGTATATTTGTCTATTCTTGAAAAACTAGAAGATCAGATTTTGGATGTTTTCACCATAAATAAATGTTAAATGTTGAGGACACGCACACATATACAAATATGTATACACACACACACTTACTCTTATTGGACATTACACAACATACAGATGTATCAAAACACCACATATTATTATCCTATCACATAGGTACAAACTTTAAATGTCTGCTAAATATTTTTAATTATTAAAAAAAAAAAAACAAAGGGAAACCAAAACTGCATGAGTGACACAGTCAGGACACAGCTTCATTCTGTGCAATGCACCTACAGTCAACGTACATGGCTCTAATTCCTGAAGGTCAGAGACATAGCACAAAAACACCTTGATCTCTCTGCACGGTTCATAATGAATGTATAACCCAATAATCAAGCAACACTTTCCTTAAACAAAGCACGTAGTTCGTCTGTGAGTATAGAAGTGTCTTAAGGCTGGCGCCGCGGCTCAATAGGCTAATCCTCCGCCTAGCGGCGCCGGCACACAGGGTTCTAGTCCCGGTCGGGGTGCCGGATTCTGTCCAGGTTGCCCCTCTTCCAGGCCAGCTCTCTGCTGTGGCCAGGGAGTGCAGTGGAGGATGGCCCAGGTGCTTGGGCCCTGCACCCCATGGGAGACCAGGAAAAGCACCTGGCTCCTGGCTCCTGCCTTCGGATCAGCGCGGTGCGCCGGCCGCAGCGTGCTGGCCGCGGCGGCCATTGGAGGGTGAACCAACGGCAAAGGAAGACCTTTCTCTCTGTCTCTCTCTCACTGTCCACTCTGCCTGTCAAAAAAAAAAAAAAAAAAAGAAGTGTCTTAAAGCTGTATTTCACTTTACTGATCTGAAAGCTGACTTTCTTCCACGGCCAGTGCTGTGTGCCTGACTCTAGGATTCCACACTTGTTGTCCCTCTCAGTGTTCACTCTCACACTCAGGGGGTTTAAGGTTCCATGTGCTCCTTCCCTCTGTCTCCATTCTTCAACATCAGAGAGCAGTTTTTCAGTCGGTCATCACACTTACAAGTGACACATTTTTGGCTAACTAGAATGTGATTTTATCTTTCTTTTACTTCAAAATTCTTGGAATCATGTTCTGTTGTAGCTACAAAAGAACTTCAAGTTCATAAAGTGTGACCCCTCTTTCTACTTTCAGTTCAGTTTCCTTTATAGAGACTAAGAGAACTTAAATAACACTGTACACTCTGTTGAGACAAAAACACGTCTCAATTTGCTGCCCCAGGGTTCTGTCAGCTAAACCTGAGTGTCTCACTCTCTTTTGTGGAGATGATTACATCATGGCAAGCTAAATGCTTCTAAACAGGCTTTCTTTTTATTTTTTAAAGGTTTATGTTATTTATTTGAAAGGCAAAGTCAGAGAGAGAGACTGATCTTCTATCCTATCCGCTGGTTCACTCCACAGCTGGCCACAATGGCCAGGGCTGGGTCAGGGCAAAGCAGGAGGCAGGAGCTTCATCCAGGTCTCCTACGCTAGTGTCAGGGCCCAAGCACTTGGGCCATCTTCTGCTGCTTTCCAAGGCATTAGTAGGGTGTTGGATTGAAAATAGAGCAGCCAGGGGCTGGTGCTGTGGCATAGCAAGTAAAGCCACCATCTGCAGTGCCGGTGTCCCATATGGGCGCCAAATGGAGACCCAGCTGCTCCACTTCCGATTCTGCTCTCTGCCATGGCCTGGGAAGGCAGTGGGGGATGGCCCAAGTGCTTGGGCCCCTGCGCCCACGTGGGAAGACCTGGAGGAGGCTCCTGGCTCCTGGCTTCGGATTGGTGCAGCGTTGGCTGTTGCAGCCAACTGGGGAGTGAACTGCAGATGCAAGACCTCTCTGTCTGTCTGTCTGTCTATCTATCTGTCTCTCTCTCTCTCTCTCTCTGCCTCTCCTTCTCTCTCTATGTAACTCTGACTTGCAAATAAATGAGTAAATATTAAAAAAAGAAAATAGAGCACGCAGCACTCATATGCCCATATGGGATACCAGCGTCACAGGCAGCAGCTTTATCTGCTACATCACAATGCCAGTCCCTCAACAGACTTCCTTTACAAATATTTTATTATATGTCTAATCTGATTGAAAATGACCAATAGAGGATGGCATGCAACTGGGGATGTCACAAGGCAGAGAGAATACTGTCACTCTACTGCTCAGGCAGGAGAAAACATGCAGGTTTTGGTGTTTTATATCCAGTGTGTAGAACACTAAGTAAGAGATGGGGTGGCCAGGGCATGGCAAGATTAAAGACACGGCTACGTGGCATAACTGCTGTGATCTGTAGCGTGAAGCCACTGGGGGCATCTGTAACACGGATTTATAAGAGTGTGGCTACAATTACACACAAGGCGTCCTGGGAGACATAAACAGAGAGCGAAGAACTGGGGAGAATCGAGTTGTCACAGAAAGGGCTCTCTCTTCCACTCCCAACGACACAATAGGGAATGCACGATTGACAAACAGAGCCAGACAGAAAGATGGATAAGCTAGATAGAAAGCCAGATAGATAATAAATCCTGGACTCAACATCAAGTTGCCCTTCATCATCCTCTCCTCCACTTCTCCTTCTTCTCTGCTTTGTGCTAGTCTATGTAACATGCTTCCCTTTTCTTTCCTTTCTACTCCATGGTTGTGTCCCTGAGTCTTAACTCTTACTGGTGAAGGGGAAACTAGACATTGATAGATTTACACCCAAAGTAACAGCATGAACAATTCCAGACATAACAAAATAGTAACTGTGGCTCAAAAAAAGTTCAAGATCTTGGTGTGGAATATGTTGTGTGAGTGCAAAAAGATGTTCACATATACATACACACACACACACACACACACAGCGATACTCCTGTAAATAGCCAGGGGCACACTCATCATGATAAATGTCCCAAAAGTGATGGATGCTAACCATAACCATAAATCAATTAATCACAGGCAAGAGCCACACTGCATTGTTTCATGACTAATTTGTATTGGTGAACAGCAAACTCAAGAGAAACCAAAGAAATGTTCTTGAAAATTGGTTCTCCACTTGCCAAATCCTGAGAGGGGTGCTGGGTTTTTTTTTGTTTTTGTTTGTTTGCTTTTTTTGAGCCTACTGAGAGTTGCTCCCAGCCCCAGCCACTCAGCTATCAGTAAGGAGGGGACAGATGTGGCCTCCATTTTAATGCCCGGTTCACAGTCTGTGTCCACCCTTGTATCCTTCATCAGGCTTCTCTCTGAGTGATGTTTTCCTTTTGCTTTCTCTGCCTCTCCCCTTCTTCCAGAACAATGAAGGAGGAGTGATTGCTCAGCTCCCCAGTGATGTTACCTCCTTTAACCAGACAGGACTGAAACCTGGGGAAGAATACATTGTCAATGTGGTGGCTCTGAAGGAACAAGCCCGGAGCCCCCCGACTTCAGCCAGCGTCTCCACGGGTGAGTGTCTCCAGCCTTCTCCCACTGGTCTCCCTTAGGTCACTCAGCAGAGTGGACCACAGAAGCACCCAAGCAGTAGACAGGCAAGAGAGGTGCTAGACTCCTGCTGTAGCAGAGATGGTGTGTGTGCCTGGAGATGGAAGTTTACCAAACGCTTCGCTGACTACACTCAGTGCTCCTTCTGGCAAGCCTGGAAGTCTAGGAGAGGATTCTAGCGGAGAAAGTGCTTTGCTATGATCTCCCATATATTTTCTCCAATCTTCCTTGTTATCAAGAGACCCCATTTCCCAAAGCCCTGGTGCCATGGGAACTAGAAAGAGCAACTCACTCTCACCTCTCCTGAGATCTGGAGAAAGTCAGCAGAATCTTCCCAAACTTCAGTTTGCTTTACAGTGACGACAATAGTTCCTCATCCTCTAAGTCTGTGAGGACCATATTAGGTGAGCCATGTAGTGGTTAGCCCTGCACCAGTGAGAGTGCTCAGTACTTGACTTATACAGTGGATGCAGAAAACACACTTGGGCGTGAAGGCCGTACATGACAAAGCTTTGAAAACAGTCACTGTTCACAAGGATGGATTCAGTTGATTAGCATTTCGTCCTCGTGGTTCATCTCTGTCAAGATACTGTATTTCCAGGACTGATTCTTAACTGTATCCTACTTTCGCGTTATCACTTCCTTGGCTAATGAAGGATGTTCAGCTTCAATGCTGTCAATTAACAATTGTGATGCATCGTGTGTGCCTCACCAAGAATTTGTCAAGTTATCAATAGTATCTGCTATTGTTTTGGGATTCTCATCTTCTTGATGGGAGAGCTGAGACTGAGACTAAGTAACTTCCAGTTGTTAGTAACAAGGACTGAAATAAAAAGCTTTATTTTTCAAGAACAGAAATTAGGCCGGCGCCGCGGCTCAATAGTCTAATCTTCCGCCTTGCGGCGCCCGCACACCAGGTTCTAGTCCCAGTCGGGGTGCCGGATTCTGTCCCGGTTGCCCCTCTTCCAGGCCAGCTCTCTGCTGTGTCCCGGGGGTGCAGTGGAGGATGGCCCTAGTACTTGGGCCCTGCACCCTATGGGAGACCAGGAGAAGTACCTGGCTCCTGCCTTCGGATAGGTGCAGTGCGCCGGCTGCAACACACTGGCCGCGGCGGCCATTGGAGGGTGAACCAACGGCAAAAGAGGAAGACCTTTCTCTCTGTCTCTCTCCACTGTCCACTCTGCCTGTAAGAAAGAAAGAAAGAAAGAAAGAAAGAAAGAAAGAAAGAAAGAAAGAAAGTAAGGAAGAAAGGAAGAAAGGAAAGGAAGGAAGGAAGGAAGAGGAAGGAAGGAAGGAAGGAAGGAAGGAAGGAAGGAAGGAAGGGAAGGAATGGAAGGAAGGAAGGATAGGAAGGAAGGAAGGAAGGAAGGAAGGAAGGAAGGAAGAGGAGGAGGAGGAGGAGGAGGAGGAGAAGGAGAAGGAGAAGGAGAGGAAAGGAAAGGAAAGAAATTAACACCCTAGAAACCCTATCTTACGCTATGTGGATCCAAAGTAAACAGCATCAGGTGCGGAGGCTTTATGCTTGGTCTGGAAAACACTGGTTGAAGACTCCCGTGGCTTCTATTAGTGCCACGGGGGCTCCACGGCTGTGACGGGAGCTAGGATCTGGTGGAGATCCAGGCCTTTCATCACCCCCTCTCCTGCACCTCCAACCCACGGCAGCCTCCCTCCGATCTGTTTCACATTGTGCACTTCCACATAAGACTCTGTTCCCATAAAAAGAAGCTGCACCCAAGAGAAGGCTTTAAAAAGCACTGCTGGAGTCCACGTATTCTTCAGGAGAAACCCCATGGCCCTCAAGTGTTCTGCAGGAAACTTCAGACAGCAGAGGCCGGAGTCTGGCCACTGCTTGGTGCCCAGGGAGTGGCTGGAACCTGAGGCGTTGACCTGGACAGCAGGTGCCGAGTCCCCTCTCCTGATACAGGCTGCATCTCGGCCCCAGGCCACTAAGAAAGCACTGGTACTTTCCTTCCAAACTATGGAGAGCCCTTAGAGAAAGGCGTCCAACCTAGCCTGAGTCTTCAATTCAAGCCCTGTTTCTACAACAGTTGTGCTATTTTTTGGCTTGGAAGCTCCTCAAGATTAAAAGTACCAGATCTGCAAAATTTGTGGCAAAGCTAAGTCAGACTTTAACAAAGAAAAATGCCCCCGTTAATATTTTGGCAATTATGAAACCAATGAAAACAAAAACATTCCAATTTACTTTTTGGGTAGGATTTGTGTTGTATTAGGGCTTAAATCGAAGGCAGGCGGACACCTTCTTAATTGGAAGGGGACCTTACCTCCAAGTAAGGGCAGCCTGGAGGCCGGCTCCCACCCTGTCCGCTGTTTGTAGGAAGGACTGTGTAATTATTTCCTTCTACTGAGGTCTGACCTACACAACCCCCTCCTGGGAAGCCCCAGCCCTATCCGGCACTCAGGCGGCCTTCTTCCAGGCAGGCCATTTTCTGAATGCAAATTACAAGACCCCCTGCAGCTCGAGCCCTCTGTGCTGCATAATCACATCCTAAGAGGGTCCATCCATTAGGATTAGGGTTTTTGAGATTTAAAGAGCTGAAGGACAACAGCTGTACGTGGTCACTGGGGTTTGCCCGATGCCTTTCTGGTTTTTCAAGATGCTCAGTTCAGTGGGAGGCTCCCCCCTCAGCAACTGTGGCTCAGGGGTAGGCCTCACTCGGCAGCTAGGAGGCTGGTTCCCACATCTCACAGCTCACTTCGTTGAAGTTAAAAGGATGTGAGAAAGAGCAGCACCAAGTGTGGCGTGCTGAAGCCGCCTGGGTGTGTGTGCGGCTTAACCACACTTCTCCCTCAAGCAGTGAAAAGCGGGACTTCATCGCCACGCTAACCAGGGACACCCACATGGCCTGGGGGTTTTCTCTTTGGCTGATGCTAGGCCCCAAATCCTAGCTGCTCAAGAGAGAACAGGACTGGGCTAGAGCCAGGACAGTGGGGTGGGGGGCGTCCAGCTTCCACGAGCCGAGAGGCCCCCTTGGTCTCGAGGTGGTCCTGAGGGAGACTCCATTCTGGAGGCAGATTATGGGGTGACCCTGTGGGGACTGGTCCAAAGCAACTCTTAGGTCTCCGGTAACAAGGAAGAGAAACTTCTTGAAACTACCTGACGTGAACCAGAGAACTCACTGGAAGAACATGAAGTGTCGCAGGGGAACCCAGGTCCAGAGATCATCTGAGCCGCACAGAAACCCTCCACCTGGGGACCCTCAGCTGCCGCGCTCTGTGTTTCTAGGACCTGCTTACGGGCAGGGCACGCACTCCTACTCCTCCCTGAGTCTGCTCCCGCGGCTCCCACCCCTCCTCCCTCCTCCCTCCCCCTCCTCCCTCCGGCTCCCCCCCTCCCCCCGCCCCCATGTCACAGGCACTCACTTCTACTCTCTCCATAAGTCTTCTCCCTCTCTTCCCTCCTTCACCTCTCCCTGGGTCAGATCTTTTCTATTTCTGTGTGAAGAACCCTGGTTCTACACGGTCCAGCACAGGCCAATTAGAGAGCCGGAGTCTCCAGTTCCAATTGCAAATCCTTGAAGAATATTATCATGAAGTGAGTCCGCTCAGCCAGACGGGTACAGTCACACAATAAACGGGACTGGACCTCATCTTCCCCCCCCCAGGTCACAGGGGAGCCAGCCATTCCTGCAGACACCCCTGGACTTCGGTCCCCGCTCAGCCCTGTCCTGTTTGTCTTCTACACTCCTTGACTTCTCCCCATCCCGGCTGACTCAGTGTGAACAGGACTGGACTCCAGGGGAATGGAACCGTGGTTGGTGGGTCTCCCACGATATGCACCAGGCCTGCACGAGGAACACGTGGCACTCGGAGGAACCTAGACGCGCCGTGTGTGACAGCAGCACACTCCTGGCTCAGGAATACGCAAGAACAGATGGGAAGACTGTTCCAAAGATAGGGTCATTTAAACTTTCTTAATTTGTTTTACTTATTTGAAAAGCAGAGAGACAGACACAGATGGACAGACAGAGAGAGAGATCTCCCACCTGCTGGTTTATATCCCAAATGCTCCCAACAGCTGGGGCCAGTCCAGCTGAAGCTGAAAGCTAGGAACTCCATCCAGGTCTCCCATGTAGGTGGCCGGGACGCAGCTACTTGCCATCAGCACTGCCTCCTAGGGTGCAAATCAGCAGGAAGCTGGAATCAGAGCGGTCAGGACGGCCAGGACAGCCAGGACACACAGACGCGGGCACTCCACTATTCACTGCACCAGATGCCGGCTCCAGCTGGGACCTGTTTTGTTCAGACAAGCAGCTCTCCCCAGGGATGTGATTGCCCATTGGGATTTAGCAAGGCTGCTGCAGCTGGGCTGACTGGGGTGTTAGCACACAGACAACTTTGGACCACTCATCATCACACCGTTTGGCAACCCCGGTGGAAGTGTCAGACGTTTAGACAGAGAGGGTCATTTCCTATGTCTCTCCCCAGGACTCAAAGAAGGTGAAAGTTGGGCAGCGGGCACACCCAGAAGTACTGTTCTCAGTCCTGTGTCTCTTGACCGGCAGAAGGAAATAGGTCTGAGCCTCTTAGGCCAGGAAATGCTCTTCTCCTTCCAGTACCTGACAGCCTGGTGAAAGGAGGTTGTTTCCCTCTTGCCAGACTACGTATCCTTGGGAAAGTTATCTCACCTTACTGCGTCTCATTTCCCCCATCTGAAATAAGACAATAATACTCATCCCTCTCTCTCTCTTCCTCCCTCCCTCTCTCTCTCTCCCCATCTCCCTCTCTCCCTCTCTCTTTCTCCCTCCCTCTCTCTCTCTCCCCCCTCTCTCCTCCCCCCTCCCCATCTCTCTCTCCCTCCCTCCCCCCTCTATCTCCCTCTCTCCCTCCCTCCCTCCTCCTCCTCCTCCTTCTTCTCTCTCCCCATCTCTCTCTCCCTCCCCCCTCTCTCCCTCTCTCCCTCCCTCCCTCCCTCCTCCTCCTCCTTCTTTCTCTCTCTCTCCCTCTCTCCCTCCCTCCCTCCTCCTTCTCCTTCTTCTTCTCTCTCTCCCCATCTCTCTCTCCCCCCCTCCTTCCCTTTCTCTCTCCCTCCCTTTCTCTTTCTCTCTCCCTCCCTCTCCTCCTCCTCTCTCTCCTCATCCCTCCCTCCCTCTCCCCCCTCTCTCTCCCTCTCTCCCTCTCTCCCTCCTCCTCCTCCTTCTTCTTCTCTCTCTCCCCCCTCTCCCTCCCTCTCTCCCTCCTTTCCTCCCCTCCCTCTCCCTCCCTCTCTCTCCCCCTCTCCCCCCTCTCCCCCCTCTCTCTGATCGACCAGGAGAGGGCTGATACCAAAGGCTTACTTCTCACCATGCGTTTTGTTCTATCTGATCCTTTTCAGTCATTGATGGGCCCACGCAGATCCTGGTTCGAGACGTCTCTGACACTGTGGCCTTTGTGGAGTGGACCCCACCCCGAGCCAGAGTCGATTTCATTCTCCTGAAATACGGATTGGTGGGTGGGGAAGGCGGGAAGACCACCTTCCGGCTACAGCCTCCCCTGAGCCAATATTCGGTGCAGGCCCTGCGGCCCGGCTCCCAGTATGAGGTGTCGGTCAGTGCAGTCCGAGGGACCAACGAAAGTGATGCCACAACCACCCGGTTTACAACAGGTAAGACTGGCATGGGAGGGAAGCAGGAGGTGGGAGGGTCGGGTTGCACCAGCTGATGGTACTGTCCTGACAGGAGGACTGAGATCCTGTGCTAGGGCATCCGTGTCCCCACAGACACTGCAAGACCGGAGGGAGTGGGAGGAATCAGGCCCTCCCACTGATGTCACATCAGAGCAAAAGGGGAAAAGCGGGCATTCGCGGTGAGGAGGGAGAACTAGATTGTCCTCCCACTGCTACCAGCCAGACCTGATACCTAACACAGCACCTTCCCCTGTGGGTCTCAGGTTTCTCAGTCGTAGGATGACAAGTCTGTCTTGAAGACACAGAAGCACACGTGTTGCTAGCTCAAATGGCGATTTGGTGAGGGTCCAGGAGAGGCGACCCTTCCTCAAGACGTCTCATTGCCATTCTCTGGGAAGTGTTGCAGTGACTACACCTGTATCATACTATGCTATGATGAGGGAGCGCCTCGGCCCTGCGCAGAGCCTGCCCTGCGTAACCAGAGGCGGAGCTGCAGAGAGAGGCCCTGGGACTCAGCCACTGCCTGGAGGCACCAGCTGGAAGGCGGACGGGAAGCCTGCGTCCCAGAGCTGCTCACGAATGCTTCCTTGCTCACTGTGATAACCAGCCCCCTTCCCAAGGCTGCTGGGACGCCCAGGGGCTTCTCGGACAGTCAGGACAGGCTGGGCCTTGGGGTGGCTTGTCCCTTGACTCCCCGAGCACCGAGCAGTCTGGCCAGCTACTGGGCAAGTAGAACAGGCACCGTCCCAAGGACAGGCTTCCTGGAGCCCACACTAGGTCAGTGAGGGCCTGCAAGACGACTCATGGTTTAGTCTCCATCCAGTCCAGGGTCACAGCCTTGGCCTCTGTGCCCTGGGGAGGTCACACAGGAAGGGATGCCACTGCCAGCTCCAAGTTTTCCAGGGATCAAAGGAAGAGGCAACATCTGTCAAACCCAAGAACCAGCATCTTCCTACTGAATCAGGTAGAAGGAATCACACAGGCAAGCATCCTACCTTGAGCAAGACACCTGGACCCAAAATGGCCCCTACATGGAGCCCGTAGCTTTGCATTAGAGCCAGACAGGTCTGCAAACCCAATGGCCACAGTGGACCTGGGAAATCCTACCAAGTGGCAGAAGCTGGGGAACTTCTCAGCATGGAGGAACAAGCAGAGGCCTGGTCCCTGGTGGGCAACCAGTCCCAGGAGAGGGGTCCCCGGAGAGAGGGGAGCAGAAGACACGGCCCAGCCTTGCTGCAAAATACACCACCAGGCTGGGCGGTGTATGGTAGAGCTCCTAACACTCAGAGAGAGACACCGGAGAGGAAAATGCTTCCCCTTTAAGAAGAGCCAGTGTCAGTGTGGACCAACTGGAGGAGCCTGGGCTAGATCCTTTAAGATTTATTTATTTAGTTGAAAGGCAGTTATAGACCGGGGGGGGGGGGGGGGGAGACAGAGACAGAGACAGAGAGAGAGAGATTCTATCCACTGGTCACTCTCCAAATGGCCACACCAGCCAGGGCTGGGCCAGGCCAAAGCCAGGAGCCTGGGTCTCCATCCGGGTCTCTCACACGGGTGGCAGGGGCCCAAGCCCTTGGACCATCTTCTGTTGCTTTCCCAGGTGCACTTAGCAGGGAGGTGAATTGGAAGTGGAGCAGCTGGGACTCCAACCAGGGCCACTGTGGGATCTGCATTGCCGGTGTCACAGGGAGCAGCTAACCACTGCGCCACAACACGGGCACCAGCACTTGGTCCAGGAAGAGAACACTCTAGTCTTCCTCTCCAGCCCAGTGCTTCACACTCTGCTCCAGCCAAAGGGGTATCACAGGCGGAATCTTCGCTGGTTTCGCCACAACACTGGCCCTTCTCTTCCCTTCTCTCTCACTTAACCAAAAGCATTCAGGGTAGAGCATGAGGAAGGATGTCCCACAACATCCTTCTCTGGTTAACTCAAGGTCTGCCTTTCCCCACCCCCACCCCTACAACACACTTGCCCTGGGTATCCATATCTCCCATGGACCATGCGTTGGGCATTTTTTTGCCTTCATTTCAAGACAGTTTGTGTTTGGAAAGCGGTTTCTTTGTGCTCCACTCTGATAAGGCGTCTGAAGAGGCAAAAAAGGAGAAGAGAGCTCTCCAGTAGCAGGATGAAAAGCAAATTCTTGATGTGTGTGTGTCGACAAGATGGAAGCAGGATTGGCTGGCGGCCCAGGAAAATTCCAATCAAGACAATTACATTCTGCCGCCCAGGAGCGCCTCTCCCGTTCCAGCTCGCTGCTGCGCGATTCTGTTTCCGGTTGCCTGGCGGATGGGCAGCTGTGAGGGGGCTGCCCTCTGAAAGCAACCTCAGCCTCTACCTCACACCTGCTCCCCTCTGCCGCAGGAGGGGCGGGGGTAGCCAGGCTGGGGAGTGCCCAGCAGATTCGGAGACAGGCTCTGAAGGCCTGGGGTTGGCAGGTGCCAGCTGAGGGGTGAGAGGGTACCCAGACCCGCGCGGTAGGGCCCTCAGTCATTTCAGAACTCCGCTTAAATTCAAATTAACCGAAGTGCTTTTCCAGGTGATGGCTTCGACACTAGGAGCGCGCTAATTGCACAGGCAATTAAAACAGAGATTTGCTTGCTGCATGGCGAGTGGGGTATCTGCCTGGGCCTTAATCTCCTCTGAAAATGGAGAGAGCGCTGATGGAAGTGCAGCGAGCCCAGGGGCTGCAGAGAGGAGCCTCAGGGACCCAGAGACCACGCTGCAAGCTGCCTGCCCTCGGCACAGCGAGCCCAGGGGCTGCAGAGAGGCGCCTCAGGGACCCAGAGACCACTCTGCAAGCTGCCTGCCCTCGGCACAGCGAGCCCAGGGGCTGCAGAGAGGAGCCTCAGGGACCCAGAGACCACGCTGCAAGCTGCCTGCCCTCGGCACAGCGAGCCCAGGGGCTGCAGAGAGGAGCCTCAGGGACCCAGAGACCACTCTGCAAACTGCCTGCCCTCAGCAACCCTCCCTGGGCAACGCCAGGTGTGGTGGTCCCCTCGCAGGCCTCTCTGAGTGCAGAGCCTTCAAGGCACCAAGCTGATGCACCAGGGCCTTTGGCCAAGCAGAGGCTGCTCCTTTGACCTGAATGCCTCAGACCTGTCTTCAAAGCTGTTGGAGTTGCACTGTGTCCCCTGAAATGCTGTGGAGGTCACAGCCTCCAGCACCTGTGAAGGTGACTCATTTGGTATAGGGTCTCTGCAGATGAGCGAAGACGAGATCATGAAGGGTGGGCCTTGGTCTAACATGACTGTGTCTTTATACAAAGAGGGCATCTGGGAGGCAGAGACAGACATACACCCAAGGAGAAGGAATGTGAAGACAGAGGAAGGCACGGACAGCACGGTTCTTCTGCAAGCCAAGAAATGCCAAAGATTGCAAAGACACCAGCAAATCACAGGACACGAGGGCAGAGGCACGCAGCAGTCTCCCGCGGCCCTTGGAAGGAAGCCACCTGCCAATACCTGCAGCTCATACCTCCAGACAATGAATTTCTGTTGTCCAAGACACTTGATTTGTGGTCCCTTTTATAACACAGCCTTAGAAAACTACTGCACATGGCCAAGTCACAACCGTTCAGGCCCTACCTGCTTGGTAGTGATCCTACTCTGATATCCTCCAGAAATTCTTTCCCAGTTCAACCTGGTTAGCACTCTGCATACGGCAGAGGGGGCCTCCTGCCTCCTAAGACCAGCTGCCCCGGGTCGGAGCTGTTCTTCTCCCTGGACCATTCCACCCAGACCTCCTAAATGCTCCACAGCTGACATATTCCACAAGGTTTGTCCAAAGGCTCTGCAGTAGCAAACGAGATAGAGACCTGCTCACATTCAGTCACTTAATATGTGCTTATTGACAACCTACTAAGTGCCAAGCACTGTTCTGGGCATTGAAGCTACAGGATAAACAAGACAGACAAGATCATGACTCAGATGAGTTGCATTCCAGTGGGGGAGACTGAACCATGAAGAAGGAGAAAAACAGACCAAATCATTTCAATCAGGAGTGCTGTGACCTGCTCAGCTCCCACCTACAAGGATGCCCTTAAGCTGGCCCTCCTTGAGGTCAGGCTTCAAGACCCAGGGGGAGCAAGAAACTCCTCCGTACCCCTGCCAGAAACCACCTCCCAAGCACTCGTTCTCAGCACCCACATCACAGGTCCCCTGACTTTGGCAGTGTCTGATCCCTTCATAGAAAATGCCACCCCTGCACACAAGGCACAGCCCTGTGGTCGAGAAAAAAAAAGCCCATGGCCTTCCATTTCCGAGGTCTGGGTTTTCCAGGTACAAGGCTCAAGCTGAACCCCAACCCTAACTTCCTTGCGCCCCAGTTCATTGCGGGCTACACACCCCCTCCCTCCGCCCAGTCTCTCTCTGTGTGTCACATTCAGGGACCAGCTTGTCTCCCTCCACATATGCCTCCCCTCAGACTCCCGGCTCCACCCCCTGCTTGGGAAAGAACACGCACGCACATCAAGAAAGTACAGCGTGTGGATGCTAAAGCACATTGAGTGAGGAAACATCTCTCAGAAAAACAAGCTGCGGAGACGGACGTAAATCTGCTTCAAGATTCCCTCAATTTACACCACTAAACAGAACACGTCCCACGGAAGCCTCCGCATTCCGACTGATTCACAGCACTCCAGTCTTCTGCAAGAACAACTGGCGGATGCTTGCCTTGCATCCGCAAATTAAAACAGTCCACGGAGCTTTTCTCAAGCCTCAAAGACCGGAACAGTTTCTCAGGCCACCATCTTATTACAGCGCAAGTGGCTTCGAGTGTTGCCTGCCCCAAGGAGCCTGAGGAGAAGGCCTGTTCTGCAGAAGAGACCCCAGTGACAGGAGTCCCTTCATTTCCGCTGGAATCCTTGGAGCCCCAGAGAGCAGGCCTGGGGGAGGGGCACCAGTGTTGGTGGAACTCAGCAAGCCCTTCAGAGGCAACAGAAAGCCAACCCAGGGCTGGGACAGCTGCATTTGCACCAGGCACGAGGGCAGAGGCACACAGCAGTCTCCCGCACACACACATGGTCTACTGTGCCCAACAACATGAAATGACGGCATCATGTGTCCTTTGAAGGCAGTGCCACAAGGCCCAATGGGGTTTAAAGGAGTGTCCATGGTCCCCTTACTGCAAGTGTCGGAACTGGGGGTCGACCAGAGGCCTGACCCCAAATCACGTATTCTTTCCACTACTCACATTCCCGATAGCTATCTCATTTCCCAACCGGCAACCCCTCAGTGGCGTCTGTACAGCATGGCAGGGGAGGAGATCCTGGAATCGACTTAGCTTATTGATCTCTTAGCTTATTGATCGACTCTGATACTGCCCCATGCTTCTTAATCATTTGGGAGCCGTCTCTGATTTTTTCCTACTGGGGTTTCTTTAGCTTCATGTTTGAGCTTACAATAGTTGGGTCTTTTTTAAGCCTCTCGCAAAGCACTGGAACTCCTGAATAGACGTGAAGGAAGCATGAAAAGTGCATTGGTATCTAACTCACTCCAGGAATTCGTGGTAGTGCAAGTACAGCGCTGCAGGGCAGACACAGGGGCCACGGGGATGGCAGACGGAGTCAGGAGGTGTGGACGCTCACCCCAGCTTTCTCAGTTCAGGAGGCACCACACGTGCACAGTATCACGAGTGGTGATGGGCTGTCTGTTTACTTTTAGAGATTGATGCTCCCAAGAACTTGCGGGTTGGCGCCCGCACAGCAACCAGCCTCGACCTGGAGTGGGACAACAGCGAGGCCGAGGTTCAGGAGTACAAGGTGGTGTACAGCACCCTGGCCGGTGAGCAGTACCATGAGACGCTGGTCCCCAAGAGCATGGGTCCAACCACCAGGGCCACTCTCACAGGTGAGTAGCACACCCGTCCCACGGGAGCCTGTTGATCGCTGAGTCTACATCCTCAAAGCTCTCTCCATAATTCAGCCAACTCTCACCCAGCCCAGCACCACATCGGACTGATCACGTCCCTTAAGTGCCTGTCAATATGTCTGCTACCCTCCATTGCACGGTCACACCTGGTCTAAGCTACTCTCATCTTTTAACTGCTGAAATCACTGCCTCCCTTCTGCCCTCTCCCTTCTAATCCACCTGTCACCCATGAGCGATCTTCCCAGAGCACAGTTCTGACTGTGCCATTATATTATGTGTACACACCAGGCGCTTCCCCTTGCAGTTCAAGTAAGCCAGACCCTTGGTGTGGCCCACCAGGCCTGCCTACTTCCTCTGCCGCCTTCCGCAACGCAACCTCCACCCCAGCCCCCACTGGTCTGCCTGCCTTCAGTTCCTCAACTGAACAGAACGCTTCTCCTCCTGCCGCGGCATCTGACACGTGCCGTTCGCTCTGCCTGCCAGCCCCTCCCACCACCTCCTTGGCCCAGCTCACACCGGCTTCCGCTCACAGCTCACCATCGTCACTCACCTCTCAGCACCCAGGGTCATCATTTCACACGTGTGGGCAGGATTTGGCTGACGGTCTCCACCACTGACCTGAAGCTCTCTGAAATGTGAGCCACATTGGCTTTGATTCATCATTGAATTCCCAGGATCCTGCACAGTGGGTAGCATGTCCTAGGTCCTAGATTGGCATTTCCTGAATGAAGGAATCTGCAAAAGTCTGTCATGCCTTGGGCAGAGGCTGCCAGAGGCCAATGGTAAGGGGAGAGCTTGGTCATGCCTGCCACAGACACCCTCCTCAAGACTGCGGGTTGAGGGTCACAGAGCCATGTTAAATGAGGTGATGTAGATGGACACAGAAGGCAAGGACCGAGGCTGGGAGATGGGTAGGGAGGTTGCTGCTAGCCTCAGAATGAGGGGGGTGGCGGTAAGGTCTAAGGCAGTGCCCCAGGTCACATGGGGAGCAGGTCCTGTCCCTTAGGGCTGTGGGACCAGCCCAATGCTCCTCCTGGGGCCTTCAGCACACCTATCCCAGAACAACTGCCCATTGGACCTCCTGACGGGGTGAATGACTGGAAATGTGGGGTGTGGTTTTTAGCTGCGGGTGAGGCTGTGCAAAGCAGTGGTGGACCAGGGCTGCCAGCGTGCTTGCACAGAGACATTGTTGAACTTGTGCCTTGGTTTCCTGCAAGTGTTTGCCGTCTACGTAGACAAGGGCTACTCAGTGACGAGCGCGCACAGTGAACAAGGACGGTGGAATCGGAGCTGCTTTCCTCCTGAGCTGCGATCCCAGGCCATCTTGCCAAACAAGGCCAGTTAAAGTAAACAGAAAAGCTGTGTCTCCTGGAGAGCGCGCTCCTGGAAATGCAGCCAGGAGACGGGAAGAGATGCTGACCAAGCAGGTGAACGGGTGGACGGGACGTGGGAAGGGCAGACCAGCTGGAGGAGAGCTGGAGACGCTCACAAAAACAGACAAGCTCACAGAAGGGGACTCACGCCACGCGCAGCCTGTCCCTGCCCAGAGCCGCAGGCTTACTTGGCAATAAGCAGTTTCACAAAAATGATGGCTAGTTGTTCGGGTGAAGGCTGTACCGTAAAGTCACGAGAGACAGAGAATTCCGGTCACGTTCAAGCTATTATTTCCCACTACCAGGGGCAAAGAAAGAAAGCCCGCATTCATTCCTTAATCATCACCCTTATTACCGGCACGTCCGCCTAGTCAGGGCTCCTGTAACTCCCAGAGTGACCTCATCAGGTCCTATTGTCATCGTCCCCACTTATGGATAAGGCAGCTGAGCCTCACAAGTTCACAAGGTTAGCAGAGGACACAGTGTCATTCAAAGCCCGTTCTGAAGGACCCCCTCTCACGGCTGCTCCTACCACAGAAATCAAATGCAAGGGACGGGGTAGACGGTCAAGTTGCTGCCTGGGACACCTACAACCCCTATGGGTGTGCCTGGTTCAAGTCCCAGCTCTTCTGCTTTTGGTCCAGCTTGCTGCAGTCACACACCCTGGAAGGCAGCAGGTGATGGCTCAGGCACTTTGGTGCCTGCCACCTGTGCGGGAGACCCGGATTAAATCCTAGTTTCCCAGCCTCCGCCTGGTCCAGCCCTGGCTGCTCCAGGCATTTGGAAAGAACCAGCGGGTGAAAGATCACTCTCTGTCTTTCTGTCTCTCTGCCTTTCAAATAAAAATTAAAATCTCCAAAAAAAAAAAAAAAAGTAAGAGATGGTCCAAATTTAAATGCCACAGATCCGTTAAGAGACAGGAAAATTATGGAGCAGAGTGGGCATAGATAGGTTGGGATTTTTTTGTGTGCTAGAGCTGGGTTTATGAAAAAACTTATATATATATATATATGCATATATCTCACATAATTATCCCAGGGAGCTCACTGCTGGAGAGATTTATAAAAGCAAATAGCTTTACATGATTTAAGAAGGGATTACAGGCATGTAAGAAAATCAAGTACGTCTGTGGTTGTGAGACTCTGGTTAAGGATTGTTCGCTCTGTTGCTGCGGCCTCTGGGGGCAGAGGAGACCAGCAAAGAGGAGGGGACGGAAGGAGAGAAGTTAGATCCCAGCTCTCAGTTGCTGTGCTTCCTCCATTCCTGACCAACCTGCACCCCTACAGAGCAAAGTCTTTCAGCCTCCACGGGCCGGGGTGGTGTTGAGACCTGGAGGCTTCTGTTTTGCTTGAATGCTCTGCTCTGTGCAAGATGCAAAGAGCCCAGACTTGGCACTCTGCCTCCGGGGCAACTGACTTGACCTTTGCAAGCCTCTCTCTTCATCTGTACAGGGTGGTGGTGGTGGTGGTGGTGGGGAATGACACCGTTTTCCACGTGGTGTTGCCGTGAGGAGTGAATGAGGCGGCGTCTAGCACACTGCACTACTGAGTGGGTGATGACGGTGCAGAAGCAGGCTGGCGAGCAAGCTAGGAGCTAAGGGATGGCTTAACCTCAATCGATGTGGCACCGGGACGTAGAACCTGGCGTCTCAGCCCGCAGCCTGCAGCCCGGCAGTGTGGGCAGCACCAGGGGACGGGAGCCCTCGTCCCCATGGTGTGCTGAGCCAGAGCTGCCCTTGAGACCCAGAGACGATGCCCGTGCCCGCCGGCGGGTGACAAGTGCACCTGTAGGGTGTGGCTTCACAGGCGCCCACTCAGGTTTGAGGCCAGTTTCATGCTGTGCATCCTGGCACCAATGTCTTAAACTCCCTGTGCTTCCAGGCATCCTGTCGGCCTCACAGGTGCTGTGGGGGTGATGTGAGATCAGCTATTTCTGTATGTCTGGGTACTCCCAGGTGGAGCTGGCACCCGGGGAGCATTCTGGTTGTGGGTCACCTCGACAAAGCTCAGACCCCAGAGCCTCGGCAGCCTGGGCTCCCCCGGCCCCAGTTCAGGCCCCGCTCCTCTCGTGGCTGACGTTCAGTCCTTACACTCCTGTGCCCCTGTGTTTGCTCTTCCCCACGGAGGACGCCCTTGTCCCTCAGGCCACCACTGGCCCTTTCTCCATGGAATCCAAGCCCTTCCTGTCTCTTTGAGTCACACAGAGGGCTCACAGCAAGCACATCCCCCCACTCCCGCTCTGCAACCCAAGAACCCAGGCTGGGGCACACAATTCCCATCATCCCCCACGCTCCCCCATCAGCCTCTGCAGCCAGTGCCCAGAGACTCGCCTCCGGAGAAAGAAAAAGAATCTGTTTCTTTTTTTCTTTCTTTTTTTTTTTTTTTTTTTTTTGACAGGCAGAGTGGACAGTGAGAGAGAGAGACAGAGAGAAAGGTCTTCCTTTGCCGTTGGTTCACCCTCCAATGGCTGCCGCGGCCGGCGCACCGTGCTGATCCAAAGCCAGGAGCCAGGTGCTTCTCCTGGTCTCCCATGGGGTGCAGGGCCCAAGCACTTGGGCCATCCTACACTGCACTCCCAGGTCACAGCAGAGAGCTGGCCTGGAAGAGGGGCAACCGGGACAGAATCCAGCGCCCCGACCAGGACTAGAACCCGGTGTGCCGGCGCCACTAGGCGGAGGATTAGCCTAGTGAGCCGCGGCGCCAGCCAGAATTTGTTTCTAAACAACAGGCTGAAATGATTTCCTCCTCCAGTCTCCTGGCTTCTGTGTCCTTAAGGACAAGTCTCAGCCCAGGGGATGCCTGCGTGGCCTGTGTCCCGTACTTGGGTCCCTACAGGTTCGTCCCGGTACCTCCTGGTTGGAACTGGGTAGCAGGTCACAGGAAATGCGAACCCTACTCTGCTTTCTAAAAACCAACCATCTACAGAGAAAACTCCTGGTGGAGGGAAGGCAGGACAGAGGAGGAGGAGAGGGGAGACTCTCAGTCCCCACTGGAATTTGGTCGAGACGCCAGCCGCCCTGCCAGCCACTGATGGAAACTGTGGACGCTTCTCCGGCCATCACATCTGAGCGACCCCTCCACCCTGTCATCAGAAAGGCCTGTGGCCACCATGTTTTAAAGGGGCAGGGGGTCTGCCCTCTGCCACTGGGACTCCCACAGATCCTCCCTCAAGGACAGAGCCCACACTTGAGGATCCTGGCACCAGGAAACAAGGCAAGAAGAGCTGGCCTGCCTGGCCACGTGAGCACTGCCCTCTCCCCCAGCGGCCCGAGGCCCCCCTCCCACCCACCCCTGGAGCACCCCCCTGAGCGTCTGTCTCCCCAGGTACTTCCCAACCAGCCACCTCCCTGCACCAGGGCCCCCCCCCCTTCAGTCAGCAAGCTGCAAGTTAAGAGAGCCAGCTCCACGCTCTAGGAATCCCAGGGGCTCAGAGTCCTACAGATGTCATCAAACAACACGGGATCCACACGCAACACACTCACATGTTTGCAGATTTTCACACTCACACACCCTGCATGCACACACAAGCACTCACACACACGTACACACAAGGCAGGCGTCACAATGCGACTTGCCACCTTCAAGGCCTCTGAGTGCTGGGGGACGT